CTGCACAAGTGTCAATCATAAGTAGATTAGAAAAGTCACTCATAAAATGAGACACTTTTTCAGAGCCCTGAAAAGAATTTTCTCTGGAAGCTACAGCCATCTGTCTACACTTTCATCACGCCAGTGTGCGTGTAATGGCTATAGTACGGCAGCTCTCCAGATGTTCCAAGACGGCTGTCTGAGCCTGAAATGAGGTCAGAGGTCAAGGATATCTTAGTGGGACAGCTGTGGGGCGATGCTGGGGTCACCCTGCCTCTGCTAGAACCATCCGTCATGAGTATGCACACCCCTACCGACACTGGAGGTGGTTCCTACCACAGTAGGCACATTTTGAGGCCAGAGTCCCTTGAGGGATTGTACCATGAGAGAAGCAGCAGGGGGAGAGGATAGATCAATAGTATGCTGAAGTGTCATCTGGTGAACAGGGATGCCAACACGTCCCAAGGGAGTGTCACTCCCTCCTCAGAATGCGACCTTCGACCTCTACAAATCTGTGGGTGTTCCTGAGGGCGCTCTTGTCTGTGTGTCTAATAGCTCTGCTGCGATTTCACTCAGTCTTAAGGGTCTCTTTTGTTGCCTGTTACAGATTGAAATCGCTTTTCTGTTTGAAGCTTGAGAGCACTGTAAGGCATAAAATGGCATGGCAAGAATTGTAGTACTTGTTAAATTACTGAAAGTGTTACCAGTTCTATTTAGCATTACTATTCTTATTTGAACAAACCCCTAATCCTATTTCTTCATTTTTCTCTTCTTCCACCTCTGCCTCTTACTTAATAATAATAATAATAATAATAATAGTTATTTTTCATTAATTTTTTTACAGCATGTATGCATTATTTTATTAATAATAATGATACTTTTAAAATTAATTTTAATTTCCTGCACCATTTGTGTTATAGCACATATTCTTTATTATTTTAATAATAACAGTAATTGATTTATTGTTATTATCTTATTTATAATATATATTTGTTTATTCTGCTGTTCCACTTGTGTTAAAGCAAATATATGCTTTTATGTATCCATTTATTTATTTATTTCTGAGACATTTGTGTTGTGACACTGGTTAGAAATAGTTGTGGTCTTAATTTTCTTAATCAGAACGATGATTTTTGCCTGGTGGACAATAAAATGGGTGAAAATAGTCCATAGAATGAGTGATTTTGGGAGTGAGCTCTTTTGACTTGGGCTAGTAAGCAAATACTTCATAACCACCAAGTGACAAACTAGTAATAGCAATACACTAAAACTACTTTGAACATCTAGCAATCAGCAAACCAAGACAGCATCAGGGTGGCAATGTTTGCATGGGTAAGCAGTAAAAACCTACTCCATTTACAATGAAGATTGTGTGTTGTGTGGTTTTGTTGTTAGCGGGCACAGTAAATCTATCGTTGACCTTGGTGTTGGATAATGAGGTCTCAGAGAAATATTTCTGCCTTGAGGCCTATCAGTTGTCAAAACCAAAAGTTAAAGGAGTTACAAGTTTATTTGGCACTGTCTTCTCATTAAAAGATTCCTAAGGCAGAATTTCAGGGCCAACAGTCACAGCTTGGAATGTTTTGAGAAAATTGAAAGCTTTATCCGTATACTGATGTGTCTACAGTGAGGCTGACACGTTAACAATTTACCGCAACTACAAATTGACAAGATTTTCACAGGTGACAACCTTCTAAGATTGTCTAGGACACGCACAGCCACTGGCAGCAGCGTGACATCACACCGGCTGCCCAGGCACTCATTTTGAATGACATTGTGTCACATTTTCTGCAAAATGATTACGGCCACATTCCAGGTTGGGAAGAAATCCCTTCGTTATGTACAGCAGGCATCCAGACGAACTGAGACATTCACAGAGCACTTTTTTAATGAGAAAGAAGCCAAGCTTGTATGTCTTGTCCTGCCTGCTGACTGCCATTATGGCCCATTAGAATCATCATTAAGAGAGAGCGCAGGGCCCATTGTGCCTAAAGTGCCACGGACTGCTAGCTGAGGAGCCTGACTACCACTGTCCGCTTTTACCACACAAACGTGCCTCGGAGACTGGTTTCCACAGCAACGTCACCGAAGGGCAACGTATTTCTTCTCTGTGCTTTGTAGGAAAAGGCAGCAAGACAGGGTTATCCGTGAATGCATCTGCTTAGACCTTTCCAAGAAATTGGGTAGAAGTTCTCATTTCGTGCTAATCTTGTACAAGGCTCTGCCATGCAAATCCTAACCACTGCCGTTCCCAGAAAACCTTCAAAAACCATCCCAGAGCTGCAAAAAAAAGGACAAGCTCCACCACCTACATGCTTAAAAGGACGATTTAGTTTGTAAGAACACGTTCTATGTGTAGACCTGGGCTCATTTAGGACGTGCGTCATGTGGAGAAATATGTCAAGAACTCAAGCTAGCGTTTTTATCCCTCAATTATTGGTGTCCATTAATGATTAAGTGGTGTGTTAATACAGCACAGATATTCCATTAGGAGCTCCGGTCTGAGGTTTTAATGGCCTGGGAGAGAGTATGTGTACTGCAGGCTTTCAAAGTCTTTGTTTGAGGCTGCACTAAGCTGTTAGGAATGAGGACTGCATTAAATGTGCTAATTAGTGGCCTGGGGAAGATATTGTCTTAAATTACTCTCTTCCTCTCTCCGTCTTTCCTTTCTGTGTTCTTTTCTATCACTGTTGCCAATAAAATAGACTTGTGATTGGTGATATGCCAATACAGAGTTTTTTTATGTTAAGACGATATGCAATAATTGGCCAATATTAAAATTCTATACTATTATGGATGGATGGATGGGAAACATTTTTTTTAAATTCTACAAGTGAATTTAGGCAACATAACATTATATTTTAAAGCATTAAAGGGATACTTCACTCAAAAATTCTGCCATAAATTACTCACCCTCATGTCGTTCGAAACCCTTCTAAAGAACAAAAATTAAGAAATGTTTGCTGAAATCCGAGAGCTTTCTGTGGCCCTGCATTGAGAGCAACGCAACTGAAAAGTTCAAGGCCCAGAAAGGTACCAAGAACATCGTTAAAATGTTACTCTCGATAATGGCGGTAGATGGTTACTCGGGGGGAGAAGAATTGTTGAATGAAGTCGTTTTTTTTGTTTTTTTTTGTGCACAAAAAGTATTATCAAAGCTTCATAAAATTGCGGTTGAACCACTGATGTCACATGGACTATTTTAACAATGTTCTTGGTACCTTTCTGGGCCTTGAACGTTTCCATTTTGAATGCATTATTTTTCATAACAAAAAAAACAGCACGCAGCATTCGGCATGAAATTAATGCTCAGTGCCTTGTCACACTCTTGGCGTTGTAAAAAACATGGCACTCCCATTGAAAACAATTGAAACGGGGGGAGAAGAATTGTTGAATGAAGTCGTTATTTTTGTTTTTTTTGTGCACAAAAAGTATTATCAAAGCTTCATAAAATTGCGGTTGAACCACTGATGTCACATGGACTATTTTAACAATGTTCTTGGTACCTTGAACGTTTCCATTTTGAACGCATTATTTTTCATAACAAAAAAAACAGCACGCAGCATTCGGCATGAAATTAATGCTCAGTGCCTTGTCACACTCTTGGCGTTTTAAAAAACATGGCACTCCCATTGAAAACAATTGAAAAAATACGTTAGTCTCGGGGGGGAAAATGCAGTTGATCAATATGGACATTACTGTAGTAGATTCTCCAACTTTTTGGTCCCTTAAGTCTTTGGTTTTTGGTTACATACAATTGTCGAAGGAAATGGGTTTGTCAATACTGATGTCTAGAGAGTAGATTAACAAATGAATATAATTTTATGAGAAGATTTACACGAGTTGTTAAATGTATATATCAACCCTTGATTATTTTACTATGCTTTTACATGTTGAATGACTAGAGTCTGTAAAATGCTGAGGCTAAACTCTTTTTTTTCTTTCTTGCACTGCACTCCGATTAACTGAACAAAACCAGAAGTTCCTCTGTACAAAGATTCTGGCGGTGTCACTGAAATCCCGTGAAATATTTTGCGAAAAAGAGTGAGCGAGCGGGGGGTTTTTCATAACAAAAAAAACAGCACGCAGCATTCGGCATGAAATTAATGCTCAGTGCCTTGTCACACTCTTGGCGTTTTAAAAAACATGGCACTCCCATTGAAAACAATTGAAAAAATACGTTAGTCTCGGGGGGGAAAATGCAGTTGATCAATATGGACATTACTGTAGTAGATTCTCCAACTTTTTGGTCCCTTAAGTCTTTGGTTTTTGGTTACATACAATTGTCGAAGGAAATGGGTTTGTCAATACTGATGTCTAGAGAGTAGATTAACAAATGAATATATATCTCTGAAAGGCCAGTATAAAGGGTGTATGATCCCTTTTCACAGCACAATTGAAACAATTATTTCATGGCAGACTGTGTGCTCTGTAAATCTATGAATGGGAACGGCATTTAACTTTAATTAGCTCTGATTTATTCATTCTGACTGGATTGCTTGCAGAAAATTGGATCATCTGATTATAGTCAAGCATGAAAATGACCTGATTAAACACTTCATAAAAACCCATGGAGAGAGAAAGAAAAGAAACCTGGGATGAAATAATAAAGGGGAGATAAGAGTCGTTTGGTGTCTTGGTGTATGCCAGCATTATGCACAGTGGGTGAAGAAGGTATCGCAGCTGGTTTCTGTTCACCCTGCTGCAAACTAATGGATAGATTGGCAAACCAATCCCACGCTATAGGTTACATGCAATCCTTCATGTGCATTTGATTTGAGATGCTTCCATGCACCTGAGCAAAAAGAAAAAAAAAACACTATCCAATGTTGTGAACTTGCCTTTGTGATTGGGAAAAAATGCATGATTTATTTCTAAATTCATTATGCTTTTTGCCCCCAGCTATATTAATTAAAGCATCTAAACTGCATTTAACATCTGAATTAAATACATTAACTATAAAATGACTTATATAAAATATAGATACAGATTTTGAACTCTGTTTGTGTCTTTCTTTCTAGTTACGCCAACGAATGAGAATCTCGGGTCCAAAACTTCCAGCTTGACCAAAGTGTCTGGCCTTCAGCGTAGCCAGGAACAGAGTAACGACGTTTCGTTTGTCCCGCCGATCTCAAGTCCGACTCCTGCGTCACCCCCTACGGGGTCTCCTGCCCCTGCTGCGGCGGCAGCCCCCGCGCCTAGACCGCTCCCTATCTCCCCGAACCCTCTCAGTATCAAGAAGGAATCTGTGCCCCCTAACCCCACCCTTTCCCTCCTGAGGAACCAATCAAATTCACTGGAGCACAGAGTCCTGCCCCCATCGCACCACAGCCGGCCAATCATCAGTCATCATCATCATCCTTTGCTGTACAGCAGTCTTCACAACATCAGGTTAGTAATTTTTTTTTTTTACACAAATTATTATTTATTATATTTATATAATTAAATATTGTTTCTCTTACAGCAAATATGCATTTTAATTTGTAATAAAAACTGAAAATTGACAGCAAAAAATTAATAAACTGCCATAATATGAATGTTGTTTCTCATATCCCGTCTTTCCTTTCTAATCACAGCAACAACCCTTCCACTCTTCCTCCCAAACACCACCTGCCTCACTCCCCTCATCATCTCAGCGGCCTCCCGTCTCCTGCTCCTCCTCTTCCTCTCTCCATAGCCGGTCTGCCTTCCTCCCACTACTCCCTCCACTCGCCTTCTCACCTCTCCAGCCATCCTGCCATGTTCGCCACCCCTGCTACACTGCCTCCTCCGCCCACCTTACCGACCAACAGCCTGGTGGTTCCAGGACACCCTGCCGGACCACCCTATCCAGGTAAGACCCCCTTCATTGAGATTAAACTGTTTGTGGCATCGTTAGTATGAGATTTGAAGATATTTTGGACAATAGATTTTTTCAGTTCTGCAGTATGATGAATTGATCAAAATTAGTGCTGTCAAATGATTAATCGCGATTAATCGCATCCAAAATAAAAGTTTTGTTTACATAATATATGTGTGAACTGTGTATAATTATTATATATATATATAAATACAAAAACATGCATGTATATATTTAAGAAAATGTTTTGTTTATATATAAAATATTTATATTTATAAATCATATAAATTATATATGAATATAAATAAATATATATACATTTAAATATTTTTAAAATATAAACATGTATGTTTTTGCATTTATATATGCATAATAAATATACACAGTGCACGCACATATATTATGTAAACAAAAACTTTTATTTTGGATGCGATTAATCGTTTGACGTCACAAAAAAAAAAATTGCATTTGTATAAGGGTGCATACACACTAGAGTTTGCACTGCACCAAAGAGTGCTGCAAATCCACTGATTTCAGTTAAAATGGTGCCTTGTAAGGATGTAGAGGCATTAACATCCATTGTTCAAATAGAATGGAGGGTCCCGTTTTTACCCAGCTTTTACCTAATTTTTGTCCCTCAAATGTGCCATCGCAGGTTTCTCTAGTGTGTAAGTGCCCTAAGAAATTAGTGGTATGTCATAGCACACAATTAATTATTCTCGTTTTAAAGTTTTAATTTAGCATATTGTAGTGCTAGTCTTAAATCAACACAAATTTGGTTCGCACAAATGTAGAGACCTTTCCTTCAGTTACTATGCTTTAAATTGCTTGATGTAAAACACAAAATGCTTTGTTGACAAATAACTCATGTTAAAGACAGCTTTATGGACATAAGTATTCAGTAACAACAGCATTAAATTGAAGCTCTTAAATTGCATTCTTTTCAAGATGTTTCAAGAGCGAGACGAAATGGGGCACGCATCAGAGGTCAGCATATGAAATATGTGACTTATATCCAGTTGGCCCATTTTTGTACAGTATATGATACATGTAATAAAAAAAGATGTCAGCTATACTGTTCATTTCTAATATCTGGATCCTGTGCCTCGGAAGGGCACTTCAGCTGTAAACTTCTGTTTTATTGGCTGTAATTTTACCTTTGACAGTTATATGAGATTTTGTTACAATTTACACTAAATGCAAAATTTGAGATGAAAATACCTGTCTGCTTCATCTCTGCCTTTCTTTATATGGTAAGTGTTTTTTTTATTTTTATTATTGGCTTTTAAATGCCAGTTCCAGGCATTTTAGAGTTACATGCTGATCTTAACCAAAGGAGCAAGTAAAGAATAAAAAGATATTTAATAAAAAATGTGTGTTTTTACATGCAGCTAACTTCTACAATATAAACCTTTGGTAAACACATGGCTCAAGTCATTGCAAAAGTACCAAAACCATTCTTCAGATTTTCTCTGTTTTTGATCATTAAAAACATAATGTTAATTTAGACTCTAAACTAAAAGTAAATATTAATCTTTTAAAAGCATCAAGCCTGTGCTTAAAGATTTTCTTAAATTTTAAGAAGGGATAGTCTTTAAGTCTTAAAGGGATAGTTCGCCCAAAAATGAAAATTGTTGTATGCAAACCTGTATGCATTTGCTTCTTCTGTTATTGTATTTATTTATTTTCATCCATGCAATATAAGTCAGTGTGTTCAGGATATTTTTATTTTTGTTCCACAGAAGAAAGCAAGTCATACAGGTTTGGAACAACATGAGGGTGATTTTCATTTTGGGGTGAACGGTCCCTTTAAGGCAGTAGAAGATTTTGTGTTTGTCGGGTCAAGTGTGTGTGTGTTTTCTGCTGAGGTGACTCTTGGTTCTCTCTTGTCTTTAGATACCAGCCTGTTGATATCTTTCAACCAACCAATCATGTATTGCCAGCCTCATTCGGGGATTCTGATTGGCACATTGTCACAGGCAACTCTCTTACCTCCACCAATGAGTCCTCACGTAGAAAACCCTCACACCTTGAATTGGAGAAACAGAGAAAGCCAGGTGACTACCCTCTTTCGCTTCTTCCTACCGCTGTTGTGAAAACTCACTGGCCGCCCGTGCCTTTTTTTTCTTTTCCCTCCTGTGTCTTTCCCCCTCTCCCCCCTTTGCCTCCTTTCCCTCCTTTTTCCCCTTCACTCTCCTTTCTTGCAGAGCATGATATTCTGCGGCAGGAGCTGAACAACCGCTTCCTGGTTCAGAGCTCGGAGCGAGGTCGGGGGCCGGCGCCAGGGGCGACAGGGTCACCGTTGGCCCCTGTGTCGCTCCTCCGGGCCGAGTTTCACCAACATCAGCATATGCACCAGCACCAACACACGCATCAGCACACCTTTACGCCTTTCCCTGCCAGTCTGCCCCCGGCAGCCAACATTGGGCCACCCACTGCACCTCCCATGGTGCGTACCCCAGCCAGAAATGTGAGGATAAGTAAAAACGGATAGATTTTACTCCCTTCCTACCTCCTATTCCCCTCAAAATAGTCCGATCTATTAAGAACAAGCCCCTTCTATACGACCATCATATTCTTCCAGCAAATGACACTTGCAATCGTGTTGTTGTACTGAATATAAGCACGGTCACATCACAGTTGTGCTGATATTCAGACTAACAGCATGAGTAACTTTTAGACACAATATGGCCAGTTATTTCATCTACTTTGTCTCAGTTGACAGACATAGTTCTAAGAAAAGCCAAAACATTTACATGTAACAGAAAAACACAGACTGGCAGCCTGTTTGGAACCCCATAAATCCAAACAGTGAACCGAAATGGCGCTCATTCAGTCACATAATAACACAGCCCTGCATCTTGAAAAAAAAGGCTTAATGTTACCTAATGTGATGCTGAGTTCAAAAAGAAATATATATATATATATATATATATATATATATATATATATATATATATATATATATATATATATATATGTGTGTGTGTGTGTGTTACATGCATTTTCTTTCTTTTTTTTAACAATATAAGTGATGATTTTTCAAATTATATATATGTATTCGCTTAA